TAGATACCGTATGTTTGCTTAAAAATAGCGTTGCGAATTATTGATAAACGCGATTGCTCGTAGAGTTGCGAAATACTATTTTTCGCGTTTGCTTTTCAGGGTAGTGTTGCGAACAATCACGATTCGCGTTGCTTTTTTACTCTTTTTATACATATAATGGACATCAACCGCGTTTGCAATTTTCATACTATAAATTAGCGTTGCGATCTTGATCAATCGTGCGATTTTTTATTTAGCGTTGCGATATTTTCAATGCCCAAATTCTACCCAAATTGTAGTACTAGTAGTAGTTAGTTTATTTTGTGGCCAGTACATGTCTATGCACATGTACCAATAGCCCCTGATTAAAGTTAGAGTTGCGAATAATATACAATGTTCGCGTTTGCTCGTAGAGTTGCGAACAAATATTTATCGCATTGATATATCAGTGTTGCGACTAAATACGATTCGCGATTTTCTTTATGCAAACCTAGGAACCGGGCGTTTGCTTTAAAAATAGCGTTTCGAATTATTAGTAAACGCGATTGCTGTTAGAGTAGCGAATTACTATTTTTCGCGTTTGCTTTTCAGGGTAGCGTTGCGAATAATTACCATTCGCGGTTGCTTTTATTCTTACAACTCGCGTTTGGAATTTGTTCTATTATAAATTAGCGTTGCGATTGTTGATTTATCGCGTTGCTGCCCCGTAGTGTTGCGATATTTAAAAAGTCTAACTTCATCCCCATATGTGCCACTCTATTGTAGTTTGAAGTAGCTTGATGTAGTTAGTTTATTTCGTGCATGTATGTTTGTATCTACAACCGAAGATGCCAGCACCTGATCCAGCGTTTGTGGGCAACGCGATTTGCATTAGCGTTGCGAAACATAAATATATTTCCATTAAAGATAGAGTCGCGAATGTACAATAATCGCGTTTGCTCGTAGAGTTGCGAATTCCTATTTTTCGCGTTTCCTTTTCAGGGTAGCGTTGCGAATTCCATACGCGATTGCTTTTATCGTTATTTAAGAATAGCATTGCGAATTAACTGATCGGTTTGCTCTTAGCGTTGCGAATCACTATTTTTCGCGTTTACTTTTCAGGGTAGCGTTGCGAATAATCATCATTCGCGGTTGCTTTTATTGTTAGAAATCGCGTTTGAAATTTTTCTACTATAAATTAGCGTTGCGATCTTTACTTGTCGCGTTTTTTATTAATTAGAGTTGCGATTCAATGCCCAAAAGCTGGCCAAAACGCTGGCCACTGCACCAGGATCATCGAGAAGCAACCTGCGATTCTGCAAAGCCTCGAATGGCTCAACGTCGTTATTAAAATTAGCGTTGCGCATGATTGAATATGGGTGCACGCGATTTAATTAATAAAGGAACCCTGCGTGGTTCATTTTGCGAATAACAAGCACCATTCGCGTATAGTTTTTTATTTTATAAATTAGCGTTGCGAAAGAAAGAATGGTCCACTCACGGGTTGTTTGAATTTAAGACGAGTGGACGTTTATTCCAATTATGAGTTTATTCTCAAAAGAAATACTGCTTCAAAGTACTGTTGTGAATAGACCAATTGTTTTATTCTTCATAACGCGTTAAAATCTGTAATATATGGGAATGTATTTTCATCACAGATGTGTGATGCATTTTAAAATTCTATATTATGATTAATTTTATTGTAGATTGAATTTATGATTGCTATATATATATCTATATCACTAATTATTCATTCTTAGAGTTGGTAATTTTTACGGGATATAATAACGTTTGCGATCCAATTGTTATTTATAAATAGCGAATTTTTTATAAATATTCTGTATTCTTTGCATAAATCAAAGTTTGTTCGCGATCGTTGTTTTAATTGATGGAAAATAGAATGCTTGCATCAAAAGGGTATGCAAATTGCAATTCGATATTTCATATTGAGAATTAATTTCCGCGCAGAATCGACATTTTCGTCCGTATTGCTTTTTTCTGTATGAACGTAATTTAGTTTTCAATACAGTGAAATATAATTATTGCAATGTACACGTCTTGAAAATTTTTTTCTTGAAAAATAAAATCTACGGTAACGAATGAATAAAATTTTCAATCTATTTCTTATTTATCTTAACACTGAGACGAATTTAACTTTTCGTTCAATTTCACTTAATATTTATGTTTTTAAACATTTAATATCAATTTTTACTCGTGGAAGCTAGAGTCTATCGTGACGGTACACAATTATTTTTTTCTGTGCCCATTAATACACTTTCATTTCAGCTATTAATTCTTTGAACAAGTTCTTGTTACAGGATATATAATCATCGAAGAATCGAATTGGAAATGGTACACGGATTCCATCTTGATCATTCTTAGAGAAATATTTCATACAATTGTACTTATTGTCCGAGTTTATGTTTCAGGGAAACATCGTGGGATTAACCAAGACACCAAGAAGAAAGTATCTTTTCATATTTCTTTGTTTTATATTAGTTATATTTATTGGATATGAGTTTTTGTTTCAGGACAACATCGTGGGATTAACCAAGACACCAAGAAGAAAATATCTTGTCATATCTTCGTTTTATATCGTTTCTATTTATTGTATGAGAGTGTATGTTTTAGAAAAACATCGTGGGATTGATGAAGACACCAAGAAGAAAATACTTTCTCGTATTTCTTCGTTTCTACAGATTGCGTTAGAATATAAGTAAAAATGTATATAGATTATAAGGTAAAAAAGCGTTCTCTAGCGTTTTATTAAATACTACTGAATCGCGTGCGTAAATTTGAGTGGGGATGATTAATATTAAGGTACATATTAGTATTCTAATATGCAAGATCCATACGTGCAGTTGCACATTTCTGGTTGGATCTTCAGTGTCTTTGTATTCACTGTCATAATAAAAATATCCATTTACGAAGGAACAATTAATACTAAAGTACATATTGGTACTTTAATAATCAGGATTTGTACGTGCAGTTGCACATTCCAATTTTGTTTCTAGAAAACATGTGCTGGTTTATCTCACATGTATCAACATTTTGTCAGGTTCTTGATCTCTTCATCGGTCAGAGTTCGTACGTGCAGTTGCACATTTCAATTTCGTTTCTGGAAAACATGTGTATCATCTCACATGTATTGACATTTTGTTAGGTTCTTCGTCTCTTGATTGGGCAGTTCTTTTAAGAACTCTCCTTTTCTAGCTCGTTTCTAACTTTTCGATAGTTTCTCCCTTGGATAGGTATTCGAATTCCTCGCCAAAGGAAGGGTGGTTGGGGCGAGGCTAGGGCGGGTCTCCAGGCGCAGCAACCTCCTCGCGGTGAGACCTGGGTCATATTATTTGCTATATAATTAATATAATTATTAATTACATAGCAAATAATATGAGCTAATGGCTGCGCTCTTCTTATAGTTCCGCATACCTTCTTTGCCCTAGTGTGCGGTCTGATTACACTGATTTCGTGTCACAAATACGTTTCTGCCGAGTTATTTTTTTAATAAATGATGTATTACAATTTAAAATAAAAAATAGAGGATTTACGGTGTACGTATCAATGAAATACATCCTTAGGTATTTTAATAATCTTAATCGATTGATTACTCCTATGAAATTAATCGATTAATGTCCAATTCTGGGCCGTACAGCTTTCATTCCGTTAAAAAATAATACAAGTTTCTGTAATTTCATTTTCTGTTTCACTTCCTCTTGTGTTTATTTCTAAATCTGTCGGTAACGTTGCGAATTACACGAAAATGGTAATGGGGTCTCGGGACCCCAGAGAAACGGGCCGAAAAAATACATTAGGTGAAAGGTCTCGTATGTGGTTTTAGGTTTGAATCATTTTTAAATAACTCCCGGCATACTTAGTTTTCTTTCTTACCGTGAACGTCGTTAAATTCTTATTCCACACAAAATCAATAACGTTAAAATGGCAAGGAGGTTTTCTACACTCCTGAGTCTTTGAATAAAAAGTTTCATCGATCCTGTCTCAATAGGGCATTTGCCCTATGCTTCGTTCACAAATTTATTAATAAAAAAATTAATAGAAAGTTTTATATCTCGTGAGATGTTTATCGATCAGAAAGGGTTAGTTTCAATTCATTCGTTACAGAGGGCACCACTCTGCGTGTTTGCTGGTTTCCTCGAGTAAAGGGTTGTTATCTGCTTGAGAAGTTTTTTATTTCCAACCGAGATATCGTCTTACCGATTGTTTATTAATTTTTCAGTTATTTTTACGCGTATAACGAACTTAATTCTTTTAAATCTATACATTTTTGAAGATATAAAAATGTGGAAAACATTTGTATCGCGAACAAACGCCGGTAACGATTAAAATATTTGATTAAAAATTAAAATTATTGAGTATAGCATTGTGTATTATATAATCGGGAAAGGATAGTAAATGTATTGTCCTTAGTTTCAAATTATATCAAAATATTGTTATATTTTAAAAGGTAACAAGATCATTAAATATTGCATATATTTAAAATACAATTAACCCTTTTGGGAAACAGTTTATAAATATGTAATCGTTATCCGAAATCCTGGTTATTTCAAATTTATTTACTTTCCGTTTATTACTGTATTTTAATTTCTAGCAACCGCGACATGTTCTATTTTTCACAACTTTTCGTAAATCAGAGTTATTTGAAATGGTAGTTGCAACAGAGATTAATAGGTTCTATTTTTAGTTATTAATAATTCTAGTAGTATTCATTATTCAGTTTCTTTCATTGCATATTGTTTAAATTTTATTTTATACGGAATTAAACAAAAATATTGACTTACTTGATATTGAATACTTTATGTTTTTAAAATATTGGGCTATATTATATTGATATCGTTCATCAACCATGGAAATTCGTTTTCGTTTCCTTTTAGCGCGAGTCAAAGTTGTTTGTTATAATTCTATATTTGACAATTTACTAATAGTATATTAACTTGTATTTTACACAAGTTAAATTTTGCAGTTATAATTTTGTATAGTATTTACACTTTACAGATTTTCCATTACATTCATGTGTATAAAGCCTTGATTTATTTTACTTTGAATGTTTATATCCAACATATCGATAAGTGACAATACGTTTATTATCCTAGATCAGATAAATTTTAAAACGATGGTTCGTCTGTCACGTTTAAACTAATATAACAGACCAAATCGATAATCTTTACTTTATTTTTTAGAGTTCATTTTCTATTTAAATTTGAAATGTGAATAACAGAAGGAATAAAACAGTCTCCGAACAATTCAAGACAAATCGAAGCCTGGATTCCATATAACTCGCGTTTAATTCATCGTAGAAGACAGTTTCAGGTACGAATATAAAAAGTTCTTTAAATAAAGGGAACGAAACACGATTTGAAACGTGTCGTTTCAATTTTAACTCAAATTACATAACAGCAGAAATCTAGTTATCATAATATTATACAAATGCGGAATAAAATTAAATTTGTATCTCGTTCGCATGTTCGCAGAGCATCGGGTGAATTCAGGCAGATCTAGAGCATAGCGGATACAGGGATTGTCGCAGAGTCTGATTTACAGATCGCGAGGCGAGATTCGAGATGCTGCTGGCTACGTTGTCGACGCACGATTAAACCTCGGTGCGCCGCGGTAATGGGTGCGCGTGAAACGTTTGCGCATTGCGCGCACGCGCGGTGCCATAGTGCCGCTACAGTGGCGCCAGTAATGGCGGCGGAAAACACGCGCGCACGCGAGCACCGCCGCCGGTTTGTTTCTCCACGCCTCTACCTCGCCTCCGCCACCGCCACCGTTCTCACGACTCGTGGGTAAGTATCCTCACACTCGAATCAGTCTGCACTCGCATGTCCACGAGGTTGCTCGCATTGGCCTGGCGCATTCCTCTCGCACTCACCCCTCGCTTGCACCTGGCTCGCCACGTTTAGTGCATTACCAGAGAGCCGTACCCGAGTGAACCGAGCCACCAGTTGAGGTACTTGTCGGGAATTATCATCCGTCGAGAGGTTAGGTCGGAGTGGACGTCGTGGCGGGATTATGTGACTCGTTTGAATTTGAATTCGCCGCGCCGCGTACCCCTCGTTAATCGTTCTGTGCCGGTATTTTAACGTGTTTTAACGCGATCAACGGACAACGAACGATACCTGTCGACGACTGTCAAAACAAAGTTCACCGTTTGTTGACTGTTTACGCGGCTGACGGACCGCGTGACAACCGCGCGTTGAGGTTAGGTTTATTCGTCGGCTGACGCGCACTTTTCGAATGGATTGCTCGTAACGTTGGAAATCGATTGTCGCCCAGATATATTAGTGCAAACAGCTGATGATAAGGACACGTTTCCTAAGAGACGGATAAAGACGATGAGATCCGTGGGAATAGAGTGAATGTTTTCGGACGATCGTATTTCGTGCAGTGACTTGTTCGGCGCTCAACAAAATGTACGCGTTATATGGTGATCAGTATACGCATTAATATGTATTATTAATATACACTATCGACACACACGTACATGTATACACGCATACGCGGGAAAATAGTTTTTCTTCTTTTTGTTCGTAGTCGAGGCGTTTACCAGAGATCGAAATAACCGTTTAGCCTGTTGCGTCGTTGGGGTTGCGGGTGTTCAGTGTTTTCCTATATCTCTGACATCGAGAGTGCTTCGAAACTCGTATGAATTACGAACTTTCTGACCCGTAGTTTAAATTCGTTGCAAAGAACAACGCGTGGTATTGTAAATAGAAGATAAGGATGTTCTTAATTTGTTCGAACGGAATTAATTCGAAACGACAGCGGAACAGATCGATACGCGACGATTGTCCCGACGAGTGCAAACGCATCAAATGTAACGGTATTAATATAACACGTGATTCGATACCATAGATATTTGTTTACCATTATCGTCGACCGTGTTAAATTAACTAGTAATTTAATATATACAAGGTATCAAATATCCAGATAATGGACGAAACGGATCTCGTTTATTTAATAGGAATTGGGAGTCTAATCTAGAGAAAATGAGATCGCGAGACTCGGTAGAAAAACACCGACGCTCGATACATCGAGACGATCACCGTTCGTAACTAAATTTACAACCGCAGAATTTGATTAGTTTCTCGTATTTCATTTTGTATCCACGATCGCGGAAATTCGTCGTGCGATATAACGCGGGGCGTAAATAAATTTTATCGACGATAATGTACAGGGCACGCTCGAAATTGTTAACGCTCGCGTTTAAACAAACGGGCCTGAACACCCGCGGAGCGTCGCAACGCGCGTTTTATAATCTCACGCCTTCGTTTCGACGCGCCGCGGCGCGCACTTTCTTGCACTCGTAAATTCATTCGATACAAGAGAAAGAGAAACTGACACAACCGCGATCGATGCAGTCGCTCGATGGATCAAATTCGATAGCTCCAGTTGAAACACAAGAAGGAACAGAAATTTAAGTCATTTGTCGGTCGAATCATTGACTATATCATACTTGAACCGTCCTTAAACGCTCTTAATTAATATATTCGCGATCTCTGATGTCCGTTCTTTCGACGCGAGTTAATTACGAGCGTTTCGATCCGTGTGTTTCAACGTTCGTTACATTTAGGATAGAATTAATTTTGTTCCTTGTTTATCGAACACTCTTTTTCTTTTTTATACTGGAACACGAAAATTAATTTAAAGCTTAAGTTTCGTATTATTCCATGATTTTGTAATATTAAAGAGTTTACGAAGAAAAAGATCTTTTATTCCGTTCGATCATATTCTAAAACCCGAGGATCTGCATCGAGAATTCAAAATATTTAGTAACACAATTTGATCATTGTTATGATACGTTATTAACAAACAAACAAATAAATTGATCGTTTTGTTGGTAGAATTTCCTAAGTGCTGCTCTTTATCGAATCGAAATTCTTGTAATAATTTCCATTATTGCCTAAGAATAAAGATCGAAGATGGTTGAGACGAATAAAAATGTTCAGTAGCTTTGATTCGTATTATTCAAAAAGTATTTCGAGACTTTGGAACGCACAATATATTCGAAATTAAACTCGGTGAAGGATTTTCTATATTTCACCACATTCTCGAACTTTAGAAAGCGTTGAATAATTTCGAAATATCGAACAATTAATTCACATTTATGTGGCAGTATAAATTCTCAGTAAACATTATTCTATTCCATTAAATGTTAATTCTTGTCAATCGGTCCTTTAAGTCACTTTCTTGCCGTTTAAAACAAGATTTTTCTATATTTACGTAGGAGAAAAATTTTGCAGTTATTCGAAGAATACAAATCTAAATTTACAACGAGAATATCCTAACACTTGCAAACTTTTTAACAATATTACTGTAATCAGGAGTATTTCAAGTGCAATGAATAAACCCTAATATTTGCTATATTCGAATGATATTATCATCATCAGGAATATTAAATGTAATAGGAATTTTTAGGAGCCAATTTACAATACAATTATTGTTATAATTTTTGACTTGTTAAAACTCAAATTACCATAGTATGAATTAAAAAGAATTTAGTCCGTGATAGATTCTATAGAATAGCAACAAATATTAAACAAAATGTTTCAGTAGCAAAAGCAGACCTTGACTCTTGAAATACGATGCTAGAATATTTAAGAAAAGGAAAATTCGTTGACTTTTACACCAGTTTTTTCGATACTTGATTAAATCGTAGCGTGAAAAATAAAAATATTCGTTGGTTTAATCCTGCACTCAGTATTTCGTTATATTTCTAATGACAGTAATATTTGAAGCTTAGAAATCTTAGAAAATCGTCCATCGTAAAGCGTTTTAAGTTCGAAGCGTCGGTCGCTAGCGAGCACACTGTTATCAGACGCGTTAAGCGTTCAAAAATTTATTTAAACAAAGCAAATTCAAGCAAAGGTGACGTTCCTCTTCTTTTTACTCTGAATAAGACGTTAGAGAAGTATTTCTTTCTACTTCTTATCGTAAAAAGCGCAACGCACGCGAGCACGTTAGGTACATTTAATGTAACGTTTAAAAAACATTATGGTTAACAAGTGACTTAAATAACGAGTTGAAAGAAACCTCCACGATACAGAAATAAATTTCAAATTGTACCTTCGTACACGATAAAATAAACATACACAATATACTATTAAATAGAGGTCCGATAACATTATAATTAGTGTATATTTGAAACCATATATTCGATTCGATACGAGCAGTACTTAGAGATTTGATTTTGTGTTTTAATAACACTATAAATTCCCGATGTTCGCGCGACAATGATCGATCCGGTGATAGTGTTTTCGTATCCAGTTTTCCGGTGCATTTGTGCGACGATAGGCTTCGGGAAAAGTCGCGATCATCTCGACAGAATTCAGATTTCGCGCGTGAATCGATTATCCTCGCGTGTGTGATCCATGGAAGATTGAGAAATGGAACACGTCGATATCTGTTCTAGATGGATAATTCTGCGTACGTGCCGAATCATCTACCGCCGCCGTCTCTGGTTGTGTTTTCACAGTCTGGAGGGCTGCCGGAAGCTCTGAGAATGCAAAGACCCTTCAATCCACAAGTTAGTGTCCTATTATCCTTACCTATACGCTTAAGCCTCTGATTGCTTGTACTCCTCTCTGTTTGCTGATGCTGAGCATGGCGAAAATAGTATTTAGAACAGTGCATACCACCCCATTGCTACCATTTGTTCCATCTCCTCACACTGCCTCTGAATGTTCTTCGATCACATACATATTCCTATTCTTCGTAAAAAATCTATCGTCTCGATTGAATATCATTCGAACCAGTTTCGTACACGCGATCCAATCACCGAAAGAAAATTTACCGTATAGTAGACTCTGTACACTTTGAATTGTTCGACATTATTCCAAGTTCGAAGAACACATCGAATTCGATTACGATTCACGTACTTCGGTATTGAAATATTTTCTAAAATACATTTTACACTATGTTGATAGATGATTTCAAAAGCATTTCCTTGGTTTCACCACTTATTTTAGTCAAATCATCAGAAAAGTTACAATCAAACAGTAACGTCCAAGCAGTGACATTCCAACAGTAACTTTTTAAACAATAACACTGAAATATTTAAATACATCGAAGTTTACTCGTGTTTGTTCGAGTATCTGTTTGGATATTAAATAAAACCAATATCCGTTAAATATTTTAAACCGATGTATTAATACGTTTGTTCGTTGCAAAACTATCGAGAATCGTCTATCGGAGTAGTCGTTGGAAGCTTCGAGGGGTAGAATATCGTGTTAGAACACTATAAGCAGTTTTAATCAACGTTACGGTCGATGAATGGTGGTTCGTCCCGGTAGCCTTTACGGTTTTTTTTTTTTCACAATTTATTGCAAATTCGTTTTACCGCACTATCGTGGTGAATAATAAAAGAGCCAATCTTTGTGCTTCGAAAAATGTCAATTCCAATGAGGTCCAATTGCAGGTGCAATCGCTTCAGCCCGCTTGTTGCTTTATGCTCGCCAGTGGTAATTAATGCACGCTCTGAATGGGGATTTTGTCGAATGTGCGGCCAGCCTACGTGTATGCATGTGTAAATCGTAGCGAACAAATGTTGATCATACAATAGCAATTTTTTAGAAAAAGTCAGACGAACAAACTCGTTGGAACGACCTAACGTAAGTATTGTGTGCACGTGTACACCTCCGAACGAATGTTTCTAAACGTAATTTAGTTTTACTTTATAGTACACGCTGTACAATAATTCTGAATCTTTCGAACGATTCGATTTTTTTTCAACTTCATTCTACAATTTTTTACGAAGAGAAACTCGTGAAATATAGGATTAATGCAACGTGCTCTTGGTGCATTCTAACTAAATTTATTTTAAACAAACTCGTTGTGCTGGTGTACAACAATTAAGATTATACTAATTCAAGTCGATATTTTCTATTTGTGAATAGAAAAATGGCGAAACGTTTACTGAATCTTGTAAAGGCGAGAATAATCATTCGAAAGAACAACAAATCGTTTTTTCTGAACAGGTTAAAGACGTTCCTTGCTGATCCAACGATCGATCGTTTATAAATAAAATAAGAAATGGTTGAATATAAAATTCGAAGAAGTGGACGTAAACTTTGGCCGAATATTAATAATATTTTACTTAAATCGATCAACGAGGAATGTTTTTTTTTAAATAAAATCTGTTATTTAAGACGCGAATAGAGTAATTGAAATCGGTCGGAAATTGATCGGTGTTTTTGTCCGACGCGCGGCTGCGGACCGGAAGAAGAGGGATTGAAAATATTGTAAATGTAAAAGCGTAGTCATCGATCGACCAACGGGGCCAAAAATGCCATACTCCGCGGCAGCCGTTTGTAATTAAGATAATAATGAATACCTAATAAATCACTGATTGGACGGAGGAACAAATACGGGGGTTGGCAAACGAGAACCTCATTTCCTCGTATAAAAGAATAATAAACTAATCGCGCTGCACTAATTCCCGTGTAACTCGTCGGCTACATCATTATCGATTCGATGAAATGTTTATTTGAAAATTCGAGAGCCCATCGATCCATTACAATTTTTTATTTTTCGTTCAGCTACTTTTTGACAAATTATAATTAATACACGTATACAAGACCAAAATGTTATATAACTAAATATCCATAAATACTTTGTCAAGAACTTGTAATAAAAAATATGAATTGTGAAACTCGGTTTCAGGATATTAAAATAGGAGAAAAAATTTATAATAAAATAAAATCAATGTTTTACAAGCATTCGATATCGTGAGATTCTTTGCAATTTATTGAACAACAAAAAATGAGTAAAAAAGAAAAAAATTGTAGTAAATTTGTTTCTTTAATAGATAAAAAAAACATCACATTTCATATATTTTCGTCATAACTTCTTAACAAAGCATCTATGAATATTTTATTATTATAACACTTTACTCTTATTTTTATATAGTTTACATTAACATTGATTATAACATTTAACAGTATTTCGTTCGATGCAAATTAAAATACATATTTAAAAATTTGCTTGCATCATCGTCGAATACAAATTTCGATCGTAATGTGGATCCTCTTTAGTCGATCTAATAAAGTTGATAAATAATTTTAATCGTATCACAAGGTTTCGAAAGATTAATTTAACGATGGATGGGAATTTTTTTTCTCGAACGAACAATTATCTGAATTCTTACGTCGAAGAACGTTCTCTGTGTTTCGTCTCGCAATATATTCCGCGAACGATGAAATTCTGAAATTCTGAAATTGTATAAATGCGGTAAAATGATACGTTGTCGAACGTAACGGTTACGCGAGCTGTAATATTGATCTGATAGTGCGTAAGCATTGTTCAAATATTAGTACTCTATTTTCGATCGTTAACAAGCAGAAACGTATTCTATTTAAAATCCAACAAACTCTCTCCTGTAATCGAATTTCGCATTCTCATGAATTTTTCGACGCGGTCGAATATTATAGAAACGTTTGCCAATGATAAACACCTAATATCCATACATTTGTAAAAGTGTATGTTTACCGGTGTAACAGCGATCCGTTAACAGCTTCTATTTGCCGTTTGAAATTGTGACGTTCTGCAGACAAAGGGTAATCAATATTGAATCACAATTAATTAAATACCGATGTTACAACACGGATAATACAATACCTCGGTGCTCGGTAAAATTCACTATTTCTAGAGAATACGATCTAATATTGAATCGAATCGATATTAACGTGTAATATCATAATCGAGTAGAAGTGAACGCGCAACCATTTAAATATACGTGATTATACAGAATTATAAGAAACGAAGGCGATATAGGTAATACAGGAACACGAAGACAATATAGAGAAATTATTTTCTAACGATTATTCAGGTATACTGTTGAATTTTGGTGGTTTCGAGTAAACGAAAAGAAATTCGAAATTAAAGTATATATCGAGCAAGTGTTTAGTAAGTGAGAGGGGAGTATCAGTTCGATATTTCGCGTTTATGTGGAATATCCGTTAAAATTCGTGGATAAAACTTATCATTCTGTTTAACCGGATATCTCATTTGCAGTATGCGGGTATTCCTACGCGTTTGAGCACATTGAAATAGCGTATAATACGAAAGCAATATGGCATTATACTGTTAATAACGTGAAACCACTGTGTTATAATAATCCGTCAAAACGTGAAGCTTTCCCCCGTCAGTTGTATCATTCTATTCGCCGTGATTGACGAGTCTATTAAAGCTGGCATAGTGAATGCTTCGATGAAAATCAACGAGCTGCATTTTGTAACGTTTGTAATAACGAAACATCGGACCGCGGTAAATGTCATCCTTTTGACCGTAATGGATAACGGTAACATTAAAATATTTCAAACGTTTAATGCATATTGTACCATAATATCCGTTTGTTACATACATTTAATACGCTTGCATTATAACGGTATCATTGTTCGAATGTTTTCTTCAAGTTTCAATTTTAACGTTTTAAAAATCATATTCTTTGTTATATTATTGTTTTTTTTCTTCTAAATAAGATTTGTATCTTGACAGGAGACAAAATCGGGAATTAAAGGTTCAAGAAAGTCGAATCTCGTTACACGTTCCCATTCTATACGACCAATTAATCACCCTCGAACGGATTTAATTTACTCTGTTTCTGATTTGATATTTCTCCTTTTAATTAAATTTCGTTCGTTGCCCTTTTATCATTGTTTTTTTCACAATAATGCAGGAAAGTTACTTCAGCCCGTGTGTATTATTATTTTAATTATTAATGCCGTGCCTCTTGCAGTGTAATTTATAATATCTATATAAAATGGCGCGGTCCCGTTGATATTTTCTATTGTTTTATTCTTGTTAAAAATATTACATTACAATTACGTACGTTTCAACTATCGCGAAGATCGTTTCGTCTACATAATTAGTAATGGTCTTTTTTTTAATTATAATACGATTTGGTAGACTCGCAATTTTTAGTCATCAGTTGATACAAATATTGAAAAATTATAAAATTAGAAATATTCGAATAACAATATTTCGATAATGCATAAATATCCAAGCCTAGAGAATATTAATCAGAAATGATGTATGGAGAACCGTAAGCTGTGAGAAGGTGGCTAGGGGTTGGTTTTAAAGGGTGTTTCTCGTTTGGATGCTCCGAAACAAGGGTTATATTCGGGAATTTCTAACGAGGATACCAAGCAATCGATTATTTTTAAATTTGTTGCACCTGTTTCAAAAAATTGTCTAAAAATTCGACAATCAGAGTCACAATTTCATTTGTAAATTTTACTTACTAATATTATTATTATTATTATTTTATGATAGTTCATTGAATACATTTTACATCTATTTTTATATTATTATTATTATTTTATGATAGTTCATTGAGTGCATCACTGATTCTTATCTATGAACGTTCGAAGAGAATAGATTTTGATACGAAGAGGTTTTTACAGTTCCCAACAGGTAAGTATTACATCCAGCAGCACTTTCAATGACTTGAAACAATGTTTAATATTTTTATTGTAACCTTATAGTAAAGATTTCTTTCGTATTTTTTGATTTTTTTATAAATATTTCAGGAACTTTGCAATCATGCATCCTAGGTTCGAATTTCGTCGTGGGTTTTCAGTCGAATTCTCTTCACATGTGCACTGCGTTTAAATACAACAGAGAATACTTCGCCATCGTTTCCTCTGCATTGAAATCGATGTCCACCGTTTTAAAGGAACCACAATTTCTTTATAATTCTTTCAATATATAATATCGTTGAATTTTTTGTTATATTTTTGTTACGCGCTAAAATAAGAGAACATTAAAAATCGAACAAATTTCTAGATGTATAACCTTCTCCAAATACTAAATTAATATTTTCATATACTCATAAAAAAATTATACAAATATTCCGAGTATTATATAATGTCCTTATTTAAAAATTTTTTTTAGTATTCAATGAACGTATCTTACAATAACGCTTATGACACTTTGCTGTTAATGTAAATTCAAATATAGGAAAAACGATATTTCGTATTTGTCAACTTATTGTGTTGGAAGTATATCGATTGGCAAAATTTTGGAAACGTCGTTTGCGGACAATTTTTAACGTTCTGACGTAACATTTTCAAGACGCGGTTTCGAGATTGCATATTAACGGTAAACGAAAACGCAAAAGAAAAACAGTTTTTCGGCCATTTTCGAAGGCGAAAGCCCCATTAAATGGTTTACAATCGTTTGCGGTCGTGAAGGTGCGAGCATCTCGAATTACAACTCGGTACGCCGGGTCTCGAATTCCGCCGAGGAGTTGGATTCTTTATACGGCTAATAAGAGTACCAACTTCTGTTACGCACGATATAGCTCGGTGCTTCGAACGTATGGATTTGATCCTCTTTAGGATCGTTTATGCTTTGATATTCATAGAGAATTTGTATCGATGAAAATTTCGTTCCGATAAATGCAATTTTAATGTAAATAAAAATTAACAGAAGCTCTAAACGAAAGACGGAAACACAAGCGAACAGGGATTGAAGTTGAAAGTTTATAAAAATTAATATAACGTACATATCACAGCACAAAACAAATAAGAAACCGAATCGAATTGAAATCCTGTTCATTTCGCGAGAAATATTATTATCGTAGAAATGATAATCTATTTCACTAATGATCCGAATTTCGTATTATACTTGCATATAAATGCGTGAGAGTATCATTCTTATGAAATTGCAATTTAAGTATGAAAAGATGGATTTTAATAACGTTTAATTTATTCGGAACCAAACTTCAGGGTATTCTGCTTTCTTATTTTACCTTGAATGACGTTAAATAATTATAGTCACTGAATTCCTAACGAAAGGGACTATCATTGTAGGTGATTCAAAAAGGGTGATCCAATTTTTAAAAAAATGAAGGCGATCTTGATTTCTTTAAAAAAAATAGTATAGAAATACAATTATCTTTGGCATCGCGTGAGGTCCATTGTACCATTCAATTTTCTCCTCAAGACATTCGACGTGTCTTTAAAAATAACAAAGATATTTCAGGTGCAAGCGTGTTAGGTGACTCACCCTGTATAAACGAAATCTTGCTTTGGCTTTGGGTCTAGTCTTATACTAATACCATCCTCTCGCTCTTCTTACCCTAGTTACGCATTTCCTTTTGTTTTTTTACATAACTATTCGGTTCTTTCAGTCTTCTGTACATCTAGTCTAATATTAGGTATAGTATGGTGTGGTATATGATATATAAAATGTCAACTTTGCCTCCCCTAAAGAATATTAAAAAAGAAGTTGTCGCGTCCGTCGTTTTGCCACAACTGATCCATACCGATCTGCTGTTTAGGTGACTGACTCGAAAGACCTCCAAGTGCCATTCAGCACGGCTGCATCTCTCGGTTACGGCCTTCATCATATGCTCCACATACCGCCGCAATTTTTGCACCCTCTGGATCACCGTTTACCGTTCGGTGGGTTCAGGCCCCTCGGGCCATCGGCGTTCGCTCCGCCGAGCAAGTGCCTGAAAGTGGAGACCGGAAACGGGCCGGTAACCAGCTCCGGATTGCCAAGCATCGGCTCCCTCTCGAGTATATCGAACATGTTCTCGCCGTCGTCGTTGTCCTCCGCCGGCGGCAGCGCGGTGGTGTCCGTTTCCGGCGCTGCTTCCGGTATCGGAGGAGGCGCGAGCGCCGCGACAGGGCAGGAAATCGCGCCCCAGAGCCCCGCTGGCTCCACCAGCAGGTCCCCGACCGGGCCTGGAGCCGGATCTGTTCCCAATCGTGGCACCACCCCCGAGGAAGAGGATCGTGACACCAACGCTACCCCCGGCTCCGAGAACACCGAGCGGTCCACGCCCGAGGAAGGACGACCTTATCGACGTGAGTTTTACGTTTCATTTCGAATCTATTACTTTTCGATCATTTCCTCTGTGCTCGTCTTCAATTCAGTCTGTGGGCAGATTCTATGGAATGGCGACGAATATTAAACAAAATGTTTCAGAAATAACTAGACCTTGAGAAAGAACCAGTCGTTGACGATCATTCTCTGTGCTCGTGTTACCACGAATTGTCTAATGAAACATTCATATTATCGAACGGATGAATTTAATATAATTAGATATCGATCAGGGTCGAGCAATTTGTTACCAGAGTGCTTGGAACTTATCGATATCTCAGGTATCAATTTTTGATATCGGTATTTTTGTAACCGATACTAGATAATAATAGAGCTTTCTACCATAAAGATAACTAGCTGCTTAGGGCACGAAAGTACTGACCTTAGGGTATGAAAATTTTTTTTTACAAATTGGTAGTTTTGAGAAAGAATAGTAACTAAAATTCAGGGAGACTTTAAAAGATACCAAAATACATCACAATTAAATGACACTTTTTTGTCATCGAACCAAAAATATAGTATAAAAAGTGGAAATAAATTATAACTATTGCTCGTAGTAGCCTGACACCTGTCGTGGTTGTAAGTGTAGAGAAAACAAACTAAAATATCGAACTGTGCAGCTCTTGAAACTACACAACATTTGGGAAAGTATCCGATAGATATCGATGCTTTTGTGGAAGCATCGAACGGGTACAGAATCTGTTTGATATTGTTTCATACTAAATTATAATTTACAGGCTGGCATCGTTAATATTGATTTAGTGCTACTCCCATCACTACCGTACAGGTGAATAATTAGGAGTGTACTGCATTGATGCCAGTGCCAATCATTACGAGCACTTTTGGAGCTTCAAGATATGTTAATAAAATGCAAATATCTCGAGGTTAGATAATTAGAATGGGCCGTTATTTAAGGTTGTTGCATTTGCACTTTTATCGTCCACGAAGGATGGAATATTTTATTTGAAATAAGATAACAAACAACGACTCGAAATGTTGGATTATTTCAAATAATAGAAAAGTAACTTCATTTTATCAATTTCTTTCTATTCCATTTTTTGAAAGTGTATATATTTAAGAATTTCAGAGATAAATGCCAAGTAATTGTGAATCGTAGAACATTTTTTGTATAGCGTACAGAAAATATGACAAAATTTTGCAATTTTTTATTCAAGCTTTCATGATTTTACCAATTTTCAATACAAATTAATTATTTTACTACGGGCGATAAATTTATTGTATTCCTAAAGGATAGTTAAATAAATTATAGCGTTAGATGCAACATTTGGTTAAAAAAAATTAAATTATGGTTAAATTTTCCAACGTACACACGAGACTGCCCCCTTGATTCAAACAAGATAATACATTAACTATCGTTTGGATAATGCCCAAGCCTCGTCGAAACGTTGATAAAAATGGCCGACGAAAATATGGTTGCTTCGGAACCGTTTGTCCCGAACCGATTTTTTTCTCATGCATCCGTAAGTAAGGAAGATATTTAGGCGTTTCCATTTAGATAGTCCACTATGTATACAAAAGACCAGCTGAAACATATATAGGAATTTGCAGAGGAGGAACCGCGGAGATTTGTATGCTTAATCCACCTAAGTCGTTTATTTGAATTCTCAGGGTCGTGGCAGCTGCGCCGTGTCCAAAGGCTCGCGCAGGGTTCGTTTCCATGTGTTTGCTTATTTTTCGGTACAGTCTTAATTACCGAAAGATAGAGCCATTCATTTTTCTCGGCCACGATTTCGCGGCGACCGTTTTTTCGCTCCTCTTTCTCGAGCTTAATGTTCCTCGAGCATTTTTCATTCTCGCTCCTGGGTCCCCCCCGTCCCCCCTCTTCTTTTTCACCCTCGAGAAATCGTCGTTTCGTCGGCTGGCTGTTCGCTTTGTAAATTCCCTCTGTTAAAATCGAAAAAAGCATTCGGTGGTCGAGAATTCGTGTACCGTTCTCTCTCTCTCTCTCTCTCTCTCGCTCTTTCCCCTGTCCCCTGTCCTTGCATCGCGGCTAATTTTCGTTTGATTGCAAGACGAGAAAAAAGGGTCGGAAAAGGTCGAAGGTGTGTAACCTTGGCGTCAAGCTGCCTTTTAGTTTTATTTCGCGAATGCTCAACGCCAGGATAACGATGTCCTTTGACTACAAACACTACATAGCCGTGTCGTTAATTAGTCGATACTCACTTGGTGTCGGTGCGTGCACGTCGCAGGGAGAATTCACGTTTGCGTAAAATTCCGTACGAACGGCCTCGAATCAGGAATTTCCGCGGGGGTTTTTATGTTAATCGTCGTTGAGTTTATATCTTGGTCTTTTTCGATGATTATCGGCTCGGGGATATTCGCGCGTGTGGACAGTTGTGTAGAAAATTAACACTGACATTGAAACTTCTCTCGTCCTCGGAGATTTTAACCCCTTGATGCACGATTTGATGCAATTTTTCAAACGTATACCGTTTAATTTGGTTTAAATTTGTTCGTACAAGAAATGGCCACGACAAAGAGTAGATTTGCTCAGTGAAATTATCGATACCTTAAAAGCAATTACTCATTTCGCTTTCGAGTGGTAGTTTTTATTGTGAAAAAAATTATTGGATCTAGCAGCAAAAGTTTTCAATTTTTAAGCGTTTCAAATTATACAGGGTGTTTGGCCACCTCTGGAACAAAATTTTAGTGGGAGATTCTACAGACCAAAGTAAGACGAAAATCAAGAATACCAATTTGTTGATGGAGGCTTCGTTAAAAAGTTATTAATTTTTTTTTAGAAAGTGGGTAAGATTTCGGGGGTAGGTCTATTCACAAAAAATTATTGTAATTGACCCCCGCAACCGAAAATAATTTTTCCAGAACGATTTGAAATTTTTGAATTTTGTCGAAAAATTTCACAACTTCTTGAATTTTTTTCTCGAAAATGGGCAGGATTTCGAGGGTATGTCCAATGATAAAAAATAATTATAATTGATCCCCGTAACCGAAAATAATTTTTCCAGAACGATTTGAAATTTTTGAATTTCGTCTAAAAATTTCGGTACCTACTCGAATTTTTTTCTCGAAAGTGGGTAGGATTTCGAGGGCATGTCTAATGACTAAAACTGATTGTAATTGACCCCTGCAATCGAAAATAATTTTTTCAGAATGATTGAAAAATTTTAATTTAATTTTGTTAATAACTTTTTAACGAAGCCTCGATCAACAAATTAGTATCCTTGATTTTCGTCTTATTATGGCTTCTAGAATCTCCCGTTAAAATTTTTCCCAGGGGTGGCCGAACACCCTGTATACAGTTACTTCCACTGTAATGGTGATTGGTTGTAAATGAAAAAAAAAAACATTTTTGTTATATATTGAGATATTCAAAGGTTTGTTCAAATAAATTGAAAACAAAATTTGCCAACGGTTATACCACGTTAAAAGCACTGGTTCTCGTTCGATCACCGAAGTTAGGCAACGCTATTGGCACTATTCGTTGTTATTCTGTTTATATTATTATCTCTCTATCGGTTTTATAACCAAGTATTACTTGTTTGTTAATATTAAAAGAAGAACAAACCAAAGATGTACTTTGCAAGCAGAAATAACACAGTGTAACAAAGACAATATTTGGTAAAAATAATTTGAAAAAATTCTCATAAAAAACAAGTTTCTTTTCATTTATAGCGAATTACTATTGTAGTGTAGAAACACGAGAGTGTATTTTAATTCAAGAGTGTCCAATTAAAAAATCCCACAGTTTCGTCAGAAAGAAAATGACTTAGAAACAGACACTTTGTGCAAAAACCTCGAACCGTGAAACGATTGATTAACTTAACGTTGTAATTATAATCGAGAAATTCGTAATTACGGGAAACGAGACTACCAACGCCCGGCGTATAAGATTTATGCCATGGAAATTAATTGCGCGATCGACGTATGGAGCCGAAGAATTTGCGGGTAAAATCGTGAAATAATCAGCAAATAATTTGATTTGCCATACGCCCGCGAACCAGTTTCTGTGTATTTTAAACTCGACGATGCGTCGTTCTGCTCATATAACCGTTCGCCCTTTTTGGTTGCCACGTCGAAAAGAGGGTTGGGATGTATCAATACCTACGTATGAAATATGTTCATTATCACGATTGACAGGGATTCCTGGTAAATAATCCTTTGCTGCACCATTCGCGAAATTACACTATCTCTATTTGATTTTCGCGACGGGGAACATATTTTTCGTCGATATTGTGCGGAATAACGCGCACCTATTTGCGCGCTTATGAATCTTTCGTTCTTTTAATTCGTAGTTGGTGCCTTTAAGGGTTGCCAGTTGGGAATTTTCCGAGGTTCTGTTTCGATGAGTATCAACTTTAAAATTCATTCGATTCGCAAGGAACAACGTCGAAGTCGCGAATGGACTTTGCACGGTTCTCAAAATAAATGCAATTCCATTTAGTAAGTAAATTTCGATCGCTTTAAACCCGCGAATATTAGGCAGACAGACTATTTTATATTTTCTGGAAAACTTTGGATGAAAAATTGATCAATTACTATCAATTACTTCTGTTCTCATTTTCCAATATTTGTACAGCGGTAAGAAGCTGCCCTCTTCCAATCGGTCTTATCATTTTCAAAAGAGCCAAATATTATTTATCACTATCTAAACGAAGCACGTATATTTCTAGCAGAGTTTTTCTAACTTTAATATTCGCGGTAAAGGAAAAGGTTAGCCAATCTATTCGTTGATTAATACGCGCGAAATGATTCGGTTGATTTATTTGTTGACTCGCGACTTGATAAATTAAAGTTCGTGACACGCGTAATATTTGCCGGGATATTGTAATAGTAGCTTATGAACGAATCGAGTCGGTTCCGTCGAAACGGTGGAAGATCGTGGTACGCGTAGCGGGCGCGGTGTGCATTTTTGCATCGAAATGAAATCGATTATATTGTAATCGCAAAACAGAGAGAAGAGGGAAAGCGCGAAAGGGTTGGGGATGGAGATATGGGAACGGAA